TCTATTCTATTCTATTCTATTCTATTCTATTCTATTCTATTCTATTCTAGTGAAGAAAACACAAACAGAAGCAGTAGAATGCAACTTCCGAGATCTGCAAGTGGACATCGCCCACCGCCCAGAGGCTACCATACAAGGACAAACCATGCACTACAAAGTTTGTTTGGAAGTGGGAGAACCTTTGAATGTAATTTACCAGACTCCTTGCATGGATTGCCCCTGCAACTATGTGGGACAGACGGCTAACCACCAGATTGCACGAATATGAGTGAGCTGTTAAAAGAGGAGACCCTAAATCATTGGTAGCCTCACACTGCAATGAACAAGGACATGCATTCAACTTTGCAGCTACTAGATTGTTGGGCGAACAGGAACAAAACTAGCCAGAGAACTCATTGCAGCCTGGGAAATGGGCCCCTTGTCAGTCAACGGGAGTGCTGATATACCACCAGTTAGGAGTCAAGGGCATATTGGCACTAGGATACAACAATCAATGACTTAATAGTCAGCCATCAATACCCTAATTAAGAACTAAAATATACACACAACCAGGCACCATATAAATACAGCCCAGCACATATATTTTGGAGAGAGAGAAGGTCCCTGAGGATCGGCTCCAGCAGAATCCCGAAAGCTTGGAAAAATAAACCTACAGTTCTGGTGACTGACTCAGATTAGATCCGGCAATGTTATCCTGGGATGTGTACATTTATCTTCATTTGCAAAACACAAACTGTAGTAAATTTTCATTTTTGAAATTCTAAACTAAGAGAGTTATAGAACAGAGATCAGGAAAACCTTTCATCGGACTGTCAAAATGAAGGACAGAACAAGGCGATTGCCAGAAGCTGGCTTAAATGCAGTAAAGAGGGGCATAATTACTGCCTTTGGGGCCACTGATAGAATGGTAGGAGGACTGTAGTTTTTCTTACTTTCATGATATGAGCAGCAGTCTTTTTGTGGAGAAAGCAGGATTTATGGGCACACCAAGAAGCTGCTGGGACTCTGATCCTTTTTCCCTCGCTACCAGTTGAGCTGCATCTAGCATTCGCAAGATGGAAGATGGAATGGAATATTCTTTATTGGCCAGGTGTGATTAGAAATACAAGGAATTTGTCTCTGGTACATAAGCTCTCAGTGTACATGCAAGCAACAAAGTGATAAGTCATAGATCATAAATCATAAGATACAAACAGGTGATAAATAGCAATAACACTTAGACTTATACCATTTCATAGTGCTTTACAGCTCAATAATCTGGGTCCTCATTCTACCAACCTTGGTGTCATGCCCCTGGTGGAGACTGACTCTGAGGGAGAGGAGGAACAGCTGACAGGGAGTGGAAGTGTGGCCCTGGGGGTTGTGGAAGAGGCTGGGGAAGGGCAGAGGCCAGCTGAGCAGTCAGAAGAGGACCCAGGCCCATCCCTTCTCCATCCTAGGGCAAGCAGGGAGAGAGGATAAGGGAGAGACCTATTCTACTTGGGAGGAGAAGGCCTTGATTTTCTTCATGGGCTGCAGCTGTGACAACTGAATAAGAGGTCGGACATGTGTATGGGTGAACGCTGGAAACAAAGTGTGGCAATATCTCTAGTTTATGGTTCCTCTCTGAGTTTGACGTCCTTCCCAGTGTCTTATCTGTGGATGTCCTCCAGCCCTTATCTTGCCTGGTTTGTGTTGCTTTTTTTCTTTTTCTTGTAACTGTTTGTGTGGGAGTTTTTTTGTCTTCCATCAAGAATATTCGGAGCTTGGAAGCAAAGTGAAGGAATAAAAGGGGCTGTTTTCTATGTCTATGTTTGTTTTGTATCCCACCCTGGGTCATCACACTTGGAAGGGTAGAAGATTGAGTCAACTTTGAGCCGGACAGAATTGAACTCCTGGCAGTTAGCAGAATTAACTTGCAATGCCGCATTCTAACCACTATGCCACTATGGCTCTTATGATCCTATTGGTATCATAAGGAAGGAAGGAAAGATAAGAAGATGACCTATTTCTTCTTTTGTTATATAATAATACTGTATATATATAATGTTTTTGTTATAAGCAAAATAAGCAGATCACAGGTTTTTTTCTGTGAAGATCAAAGATGCTGCTGTTCAACTCTGACCTATGTTGCAGCAAAAGAGGATGAATAAAAAGACTGCTGGTCATAATTAATCAAAAAAGAATGCGCTTCCACAGGAATTGTAGTTACTTATTGTAGCAATCTAGTGCCTTGAATTATTCAAGGTGTGCAAATGATAACTCTACTCTGATCCCATCTGCCCAGATTATCTAGGCTTTGAAAATAGGAAATAAGAGAGAAGAAAATAAATATTTTTTTTAAAAAAAAATGTGCTCTGAATGTCTAATGTCAATTAAATATATTAGTGCCCCCACCCCCACCCCCAATTAGGCGTGAAGCCAGCTTGGGCCAGTAACTTTTTCTCAGGCTTAGGAAGGAGGCCATGGAAAATCATAAGGGACTTATCCAGGCAGTCTCCAAGAATTGGGCATGATTGAATGGAAGACAAAAAAATCTCTAAATAAGAGATTGCATACATCTCACCCACAGAGATGTTCAGAACCCATAAATACTGTTTATTACACATACTAGACTGCCCCTGCCAACTGAGAAAGGCACAGTTAAAAATGCAAGATGACTGCATTTTCTTCGCTAGGATCTGGCAGTCGGCCTTTTCAGTACAAACAAACGAGCAATGGCATCCAAGCAGTGACAGCTCCCGGAGACAAGAGATGAAATATTTTTGCCGAGTTGATGCTCAGCTTGGAAAGGTTCCCTAAAAGAGGATCTTTTCCCAGTGCTCGATGGTATAGGATCTTTCTGTTATCGTTTGGGCTAGTTTCCAGGTAGGGGATCTTTCCCAGATATCCTATCTGGAAACTTGCCTAGATGATACAGGAAGGCATGCTGCAGCCCTACACTTTTATCTTAATGGGGCAAGCCAGTTAGTAAGCTGTAGCCTTACCTTTCTTCAGGTTGGAGAGTGCAGAGACCAGGGCTGGGTCGATGTCACAGGTGAGTCCTGCAGCTGTGGCCAGTTCAAAGATGCTCAAAGTCACCTAAAGGAATGGCAGAACCAGATCTTATGAGAGGGACAGAATTGCCGCTGGACTTTGTCCCTTTTCTCTTTCTTATAACGTTCCCTGTCAACAGGGTAGATCTGGTCTACACTGAATTAAGCAAACAACATGGTAGAATTCCAGACTGTATTACCTCAGACTGCAAATGGGCCATATTATTTTCCTGTTGTTAGAAAGAAAGCAATGAATTTTCCTGTGCTACTAGAAAGAAAGCAACATAACTCCTCACAATTCAAAAAAAATATGAAAAGTTCACATATCTTCACCCTCCAGTGGTAGTTTTTACAAAAAGAGTACAGATTCACACTCTTTTATAAAATCAAAATGTGGTTTATTTGTTTTGGGTGTAAGCTGAAACCAGAGTAAAACTGAACCTGATGTAAAGCAATGTGTGATCTTCTTACTCAAAGGAAATTAAAAAAACGAGAACTTCTAATTTTCCCTCAGAAATTCGCTATTTCATTTCCGTTTCATGCTATTAAGCTTCATCATTATAATAAATGTACACATGTGCAAAGCTTATATTTGACACTCAGCCATTTTCTACACATTATAACTCTGGCTGTAGGAAACACAGAGACTCATGATGTAATGACATTACATCACAAATGGAGATTTGATCGGCATCACTATTTGGCTTTTTGTCACTCAGAAACCACTTCTCCTCACAAGATGAAAAGGAATTATTGGATAATTCAACATTGTTTTGTCCACAGTTAACCTAGACAGGACGCAAGACAGGTTGCCTCTACTTTTCCATCCTTGTTAAGTCTTTTGTCTCAGTAATATTTGCATATTCAGAAACAAAACCAATGAAGCAAAGCAAAAAAAGCAAAACCAGAGATATTCAGAGTAATTGCTAAGGCAGACCTAAAATAAAATGTCATGTAGGTAAGTGCTGTTTTCATTGTAAAAATATAACAACAGATGCTTGCAAGTCTGAGTGTGCCCCCTTCCCACCCTTTATCTTTGGGAGAATTGTGGAAGGTCTCATTTGGGGCATTTACTCAGGTTACATTCCTGCCCTGGATCTAGTCCTCTTTTGTTGTCTTGATCCTCCTGTCCCTCAAGGCCATTCTTTCTGCCCTCCTACACTTCGTATCATGGCTGACTCGCTATGCTTACGCATCACACTTGCAACCAGACAATAGAAACAGAGAGGGAAAGAGCAGGTTTGGGATGCAAGGGAGGCTTGGGAGGCAATTGTGGAGTCCAAGAGAGCCGACTGTCACCTAGCAATGTCTTAGCGGTCAATGTCAAATGATGGGGAAGCTCCAAGATGCTCAGACCATTTCCCAAAACAAATTGACTATAATTGAATTGCTGGACAATGAACAGTGGGTGTCCCGGGGGAAAAGAGGGATTTTATCTATGCTGCTTTGCATGCAGAAACTTCAGAACTGGCTTTGGGTCTTCTGTACCTATATGGAATCATCGGTATACTCTTGGCAAAATAATGTCCCAGGAGTTTCTTTTGCTGCATTTGCCATAGGGATTGTTGACACTTTGCATGTAGCCATGTGATACCCATTACACACACACAGCTCTCTAAATGGGGATGAAGTCCTGAAGGAATCTGGAAGAGATGCAGTTTTTAGTTTGAATTTTAATGTAGATTCATTAGTATATTAATTCTCCCAAATATAAGACTATGACTATCCAGTCCATTTCTTTGAGAAAGTGACAAAATTAGTGGGCCAGAAAAATGCTGTGAATATAATTTACTCGGTCTTCAGTAAGGCATTTGGTAAAGTAGACCACAACTTACTATTTGATAAAATAGAAAAATGCGGGTTAGATAGCATCACCACTCATTGGATTCATAACTGGCTGACCAACTGCACTCAATGTGCAGTCTTCAATGCATCTACATGGAGGGAGATAAGCAGTAAGGTTCTCCAAGGTTCCATCTTAGGCCCAGTACTCTTCAATCTCTTCATCAATGATTTAGATGAGGGGATAGATGGGAATTCAGAAAATCTGCAAACAACACCAAGCTGGCAGGAATAACTAACACTTAAGAAGATAGGTTTAGGATACAGGGGGATCTTCACAAACTTGAACAATGGGCGCTATCTAACAAGATGAAATGCAATGGTGAAAAAAGTAAGGTTCTACATTTAGACAAGAAAGACCAAATGTATGGGTATAGTATAGGTGGTACCTGGTTCAATAGTAGTAACTGTGAGTGGGATCTTGGCATCCTAGTGGACAATCACATAAATATGAGCCCACAATGTGCTGCAGTTGCTAAAAAGGCCAACACAGTCCTAGGATGCATTAATAGAAGGATAGAATCAATAATATCACTTTATAATGCCTTGTTTTAGACCACACTTGGAATACTGCATCCAGTTTTGGTTGCCATGATGTAAAAAAGATGTTGAGACTCTAGAAAGAGTGCAGAGAAGAGCAACAAAGAGGATTAGGGGACTGGAAGCTAAAACATATAAAGAGTGGTTCCTGGAATTGGGTATGTCTAATTTAATGAAAAGAAGGACTAGGGGCGACATGATAGAAGTGTTCCAATATCTCAGGGGCTGCCACAAAAAAGAGGGAGTCAGCCTATTCTCCAAAGTGTCTGAAGGCAGGAATGGAAGGAAACTTATTAAAGGTGAGAAGCAACCTAGAACTAAGGAGAAATTTCCTGACAGAACAATCAATCACTGGAACAACTTGTCTCCAGAAGCTGTGAATGCTCCAACACTGGAAGTTTTTAAGAAGAAATTAGACAACCTGAAATAACATAGGGTTGCCTGCCTGAGAAGGGGATTGAACCTCCAAGGTCCCAGCCAACTCGGTTATTCATGAATTTGCACCATAGACAATCTATGAAAGGCAAATAATGTGTTTCTGCTTTCGAGTGGGAAGAGGAAGCAAAATACATCTGGTTAATTCAGGATCAGTGACAAAAGAAACAATTTCCCCCATTAGATTTGCTCAGGCAAGATCTTGCCCCTCTAGGATGCTACTTCAGTCGCCTGTGTCTCACTCTTCCCTGAACTTAGTCTCTACAACTACTTGCAAATGCAATTTCTTTTCTCTGATGATGGTCCTTCAGGCATACAGGCTGCCTGCCTGCTCCCCTGTCTTGTGGCAAAGCCACTTTGCATTCCTGCTGCTCCGTCACTGAAATGGGGCCACTAACTCTCTAAATATATGTACTGGATTTACATTTTCAGTTACTTCCAAGAGCCAGAAGGGAGAAGAGAAGAGGAATTAACTGATATGAAAGTCTTCTGCTGATTTCATGTAAAGCTGACAGAGAAAAGCTGGGGGCTAAAGAAAGTATTAAAACATGTATGTTTGTTTAAAGCGGAACAGGTCGGCTCCTGCTACCTTATGCCCACTTCAAGCATCTCTGTGAAATACACAAGCTGATTTAAGCTGAGAGGCTGGTGGTGAATGACAGAACACCCACCCTCTCGTTTAGGTAGCCTGTACCAACTCAGCACCCTTGCAGTAAACACGGGGACTTATTTCCACAGATCTTTACAATTCTCAACTCCTGGCTGTTGGTTCACATTCTGTTTTCTACAGCAAATACAAGCTCAGTTAACTTTGTAGACTGGTAGGGATGCTTTTGCCAAAAATCCAGAGCAAATTAAAATGAGATCCCCTTCCATCTTCTTGGAAGCAAATGAAAGAAAGACTATCCTTCCGCTGGAGGGCTCAAAAACATATGGCCCCCTGTGTGTCCTGAAATAAATAAAAGTGTTATGTCCTGAGGACTCTAGGAGTTCTCACTCAGGTCCACTCACTTTGTGTGGGCGTTCTTCCCCCTTTCCTCATTGGTTGGTTCTCTCCAGCAGCCAGCTATAAAAGCAGGCTGCGGGGTCCAACCAGTTGCTGATTGCTGCGAGCCAGTTCCAGGCGTGGCAAGCACGGTCAGCCCTTTATTGTTATAATAAAGTATTGTTGCACTCATGCTCTGGTTCAGCCTCTCATTGCTCAAATCTAACACTGGCGACGAGGATGGGATGGCTACCAGAAGCACCATGCAACCGCTGAGTCACTAGCCACCGATCCGCAGCCCAGAGAGAGCGATCGGCCGGCTTCAAGAGAAACGCTGATCTGCAGCCAGAGAGAGCGGTCAGCCAACAAAAAGAGCGAACGCTGATCCGCAGCCAGAGAAAGTGGTCTGGTTCGAAAGTTAGAAGCATCTGTAGCCGCTTGTTAGCCCAGCTACAGGGAAAAGTGAAGCGCTGCGAGCCGCAGCCGCTCAGTATTAGGCGCAAAATTCAAACGGGTGTCATTTGAATTTCAAACCAAAGAGAGACACAGCACAGCGCTGTAGTAAGTCACTAACGCCCACGCTGGCGCGAATCTTGACACCTCCAACGGCTAACAGCCAACGTGGTTAACCCAGAGAGAAAGAGAGGATAGCAAAAAACCTCTCCAGAGCTGATATCACTTGCAACCCACGAGCGCCCGTTGTCCCCAGAGAGATTTTTCCGCAGGTAGCCCAGCCGTTTCCAGCACCATGAGTTCCAACCCAGTATTCCCGGCGTTCAAACCAGACGAAGAGAAGTGGGAATCGTATAAGAACCGCTTCAATCATTACATCGATGCGGTCGGCCTGGCGGATGCGGGAGAGCATCGGAAAAAATCCTATTTCCTAATCTACTGCGGAGCCACCGTTTACGATACTGCCGCAGCACTCGTAGCTCCAAGAGAGTTGAAAAATGTTCCGTGGTCCGAGTTGCTTGAGATCCTCACTAACCACTACGCTCCCAGGCCTTCACAAATCGCCAGGAGGTTCACTTTCCGTATGAGGAAGCAATCGAGTAAGGAGACCATCAATCAATATATGGCCGCCCTCAGAACAGCAGCTCTGCACTGCGGGTTTGGAACATACCTGGAGGACATGCTCCTCGATCAATTAGTTTGTGGGGTCAAGGACCTCAACCTACAGAGGCGCCTTCTAGCAAAAAAAGACCTCAACCTCGCACAAGCGGTCGAGGAGGCCCTGGCGCCAA